CTAATTGTCAAGTATTTAAACTTACTGAAACGTAATTAGAACTCTCGGGCTATTTGCACCAGCAGTGGTCGCCGTACAGTCGAGTAGAGACATTCGCACAGAGTGCTCGGGCAATTGCTGAATAGCAGAAATGGGATTGCATCTTTCCCTCCCCTCCATCCCTACCCTTTTGGCCTCTCTCTCCCTCTCCAGTTCATCCACGCTCTCTGTTCTCCGAATTTCCTTTTTTTTTTCCTCTCCCCTTTGTTTCTATGCGCCAGTCGACGAAAAGCTCCACGTTACTGACTCTGCCATCTCGGCCGCAGAGATGCGATTCTCGGAAAAACTGCCTGTTTCGCAACATTCAGTGACGTCACCTACGTGACTCATCCGTGAAATTAGCCAGTCGACGGTTGCCTTCAAGGGACACTTTCGATGAAACTTCGCACGGGTCGGTATCGTCCCGTGGCTAGATACACAGACTTCCGGCTTTGGTACGAGTAGCTCGTAAACGATTTGTGGCCGAAGAAATCGTCTTCGTCGGGCTGCGAGATGAGAGAGGCTGATCGCTAAGGAGAGACGTAATTGAATGAATTAGACAGGGAAGAGCGTGTCTAGGCGGTACCAACCAGTGGAGTAGATGGCTGCTGCTGCTGCTGCCGACAGTGGGTCAGGATATCAAGTCGGCCAAGGAAGCGGAGAACGGAGCTGAGGTAGTAGGGGTCCAGCTGGGTACCGTTAGCTTGTCTGCTCTGTCTGCTGCGACTGCATCGTGTACTTTGCCTCATCCGTTTCGCTCACGGAGACGTACGCGGACGTCTTGTACTTTTGTTTTTTATTCATCCTGCTCTTTTTTGTCCTACAAGACGTATGCAGTAAGGGGGAAAAAAAATTAACTGTACCAGTCGCCAGTGTCAGTGTCTTTTTACTCTCAGTTACTTCCTTCTCGTTGTCACAGCATCCCGAATTTTAGGTACGATCTGGTCTGTGCATTTTTTTTTCATATTGCAAATTATCGACTCGCTCGATTTATTGAGACTCTTGTCTGAAAAAGGAGGGTCGATAAAATTTTAGAATTTTTTTTTTTTTTTTTTTAAATAATGGGGCTGGACCTTACAGGTCTTAAATGACTATGACCTCTCTCTCTCTCTCTCTCTCTCTCTCTCTCTTAAACGTTTCGTAAGATCGTTTATCTCTCGCCGCTTTTACCTATAATAGATATTATCGTTCATCGTGCTAACGGGGGGCGGCCGCTATACCTCTGCGGCCATTAGAAAAGCTTTTATACTTTCCTTATCGCAAGCGCACCGGGAGTAATACTTGGCGTTCTGGACGACTCGGCGAGTTCATAAAAACATAGCGACTACGTGGCCGTAACGTTTTATGAAAAGGGTCGCGAAAAGGTAACGCTCCCTTAAATTGTCCCCTGCCTGAAATGCAATCATCCCTTGCGATTTTACTTGGAAGTACTTTTATGATGTTCCCTTTTCTTTTTTCGGTATGTGTGTGTGTATATATATATATATATTTAGCTCTGAATTTTTTTTGCTTTCCCTTCATTATTTTTACTCTTTCTTACTTTTTTTTTATCTTTTTTTTTTTCGTTTATTGCGTTTTCGGATTTTAGGCAAATATTGGCTCTCCGGGGACTTGTTGTTCTTTGAATTAAACCATAGAAAATGTCACGTGGCCATAAAACGGATCGTTTCCAATTTTACAAGGAAATTGGACCCACGTGATTTTCTTTGTTTACTGGGTTGATTTTAATAACGGCGCTGTTGCTGTTTTTCTTTCGATTATTCGGAAAAAAGAAGAAAATACAGTTGCTTGCTTATTCTCTTTTACGTTCTGGCTGTTACGTACGTTTCGGTCACTATGCTTGTTACTGTAGAAACGAAACCGATATACCCGTTATTTCAACGTGGGACTAAAACTCTTGGAATAAAAATTCCTCGCTGTTGGATTTATCGGCGAAATTGCTTTTCAACAATCTAAAGTTACGCAAAAGTCGTTGCGATCTCGTTGAAAATTTGTACGATGTTTTCGTACCGATACGCGTAGCATTTGATATATTTTCTACCGATCGACAAATATCGATAACTGCAAGGAAACTTCCGTAGAAAAAAAAAAAAGTTAGTAAATTTCCAACAGTCCGCAGCCGATATACATTTGACTTTATCAACAATGAGATTGAAATATGGTTTATATACAATGCCTCAATTTTTCTTATTTCTTGAAATCTTAGCATATTTTAGTGAATTATACACCCACCCACCCACCAAATATTCGACCTATATATAATTTTAAAGATCAAAGTACAACTTAAAAAAATGTGGACACATTACGTTTTTGAAATTGAAATGATTTATGTATTTTTTTTTGGAGTGGGGGGGGGGAGGGAGTTTTTTTCTGACATCAAAGTTTCTTAAATTATTTATTACCTATATCTTTGCATTTATTCATTGACTGCTTCCCGGATCGATGCGACGGATAGCTTTGTAAAATCCTGAACGATAAGACGTAGATGTACTGTAGATGTTTAAATTTGCTTCTCGTGTGTCACGACAAGGAAGCCACATGTGCGAATGCCGAGACATATTTCTTTTCCACAAAGGATAAATCTTCCTTCATCCTTTTTTCTTTCACCCTGTTTCATCTTTTATGGTTCAACCCCCCGCGGATATATAACTCAGCGTCGGAAAATGTTACAAGGCAACAATACTTATATTGCCCCGTATTTTCGTAGATGTATCCAAGCGTACTATAGGCATGAAATTCCCTCGAACCAAAGATACACATATGCCATATAATTCACGTGCCAACTTATGCATAGAATGGTTATCAATTTTTATGCATATACATATGTAGATGGTCTGTAAATTCGCAAATTCTGTATTGGATCACTTTTTCGTAAAAAATGGCAAAAAAATTGAAATTCAAATATATTTGTCTCATTGAAATAGCACGTAAAACATTTTTCGATAAATGAGCAAAAACGTTCTAACATTCACGCGACACTACCGTGGTGCTGTGTATTAACCTTTTTTTTTTTACTAATTGGAAAAAATATTTAAATAATCAACAAAAGTACTGCCTTTCCTGGTCCATGCGGATCGTAACGATCGTACGAGTTGGAATTTTTATTTTTCGGTCTATTCTCCACTTTGCTGTTCGCTGAAATATACACGGAGCGTAAATCATTGATCAGTGATCCGTGCCTTGATTGATTATATTTTTGTACTGTATTTCTAGTTATTAATTAACAAAGAAGTGAAAAAAAACAGACCGATCTTGCTCTGTAGTAAACATAATTAATAAAATATATTGATAACGTCAAGGAGCTATGATTCTTCAGACTGTGCCATTAAGATTTTTCGATATTTTTGACAGCGTTTATAACCAAAAAATTATTTGGCATTAAACCGCGTTAACGAAATAATTCGAAAACGAATCCCGTTACGCTGGGATATTTGAACAGTGAAAGATTTGATCTTTCTTAAACGATAAGACCATATGTAACATATATATCTATATATATATATATATATATATATACTATACATATACATGAAGAGACAAACTTCTCATCCTGCCAACCACATACGATCCTCACGAAATAACTCAGGAACTTTATCAGCTCGTAATCAACGAAGTTCCCTTTAATTGGGTGATAAAAACTTTTCTTAAAGAAAAAAAAAATAAAGAAAAAATTTAACCGGTATAATTTCGATATGGTCAGACTGACCGACATTATTTTTCATCAGGATCGGGTTAAGAGGTCCTT